CCCAATTATCACGGCAGAGCTGGTGTGATCATCTAGGTTGTGCCTTCACCTGGGAAAAAGGGTAGTTTTAACCCATGTTACAATCTTAGGGAAGACAAGACAGTTGTAGTTTAAGTTGCATGATGCTGAGACAAATTCTCAGCAATTAACAGGATGTTGAATTCAGAGGAGTGTTGTAGGCAAGACACGGGAAGTGATTCTTCTGCTCTATTCTGGGTTGATTAGGCCTCTGGTGGAGAATCGTGTCCTGCCCTGGGCACCACATTTCAGGAAAGATGTGAACAAATTGACTCATAGACTTTAAGGTCAGAAGGGACCATTATGATCATCTAGTCTGCCCCCCCCACAGTGCAGGCCACAGAATCTCACCCACCCACTTGGAATAATCCTCTCACCTATGTCTCAGATATTGAAGCCTTCAAATACTTTGAAGGCCCCAAGATGCAGAGAATCCTCCAGCTGTGATCTGTACCCCATGCTACAGAGGAAGGCAAAAAACCTCCAGGGTCTCTGCCAATCTACCCTGGAGGAAAATTCCTTCCCGACCCCAAATATGGCAATCAGCTAAACCCTGAGCATGTGGGCAAGTTACTCACCAGCCAGACACCCAGAAAGTTCAGAGAAGTGCACAAAATGATTAAAGGTCTAGAAAACATGACATAGAAGGGAAGACTGAATTGGTTTTTTTTAGTTTGGACATGATAACAGCTTTCAAGTACCTAAAAGGGTATTAAAAGGAGGGAGAAAATGATTCTCCTTAACATCTGATAAAAGGCCAAGCAGCAATGGGCTTAAATTGCAGCAAGGGAGGTTTAGGTTGGACTTTAGTAAAAACGTCCAAACTGTCCGGGTGATTAAACACTGGAATAAATTGCTGAGGGAGGTTGTGGAATCGCCATCATTGGAGATATTTAAGAGAAGTTGGACAAACATCTGTCAGGGTCTAGATCAGTATTTCTTAAACTTTTTAAGACCATGGAACACCAAACAATCTTTTTTTTTATACGGAACGCCAGGGAAAAATTGTTAAGCAACAAAAAAAAAAAAAGTCACAGCCCCTTTAATAGCCACACGTGTCCCAAATGAGCTTCTGTCTCTGCCAGGGAAAAAAAAAGTTAAAAGAGGCTGCGGCACACCTCCAACTGTCTCTCAGCACACAATTTAAGAAACACTGATCTAGATGGTGCTTGGACATGCCTTGAGTGCAGGGGACTGAACTTGATGACCTTTTGAGGGCCCTCCCGGTTGTAGAATTCTATGATTCCAAGAAACTGCTTTTGTCTGCCTGAAGACAAAGCCACTTGTTTCTAGTTGTTTGTCCTTGAGGCCTGGAAAAACAGCTAAACAAAGTAAAATCTTAGCAGATTTGAAGTCAGAGACAAAACTCCCATTGACTTTATTGGGGCCAGTGGCTCCACCCTAGGAGATGGAGATGGATTGGGCTCAAAACAGGAAGGACCCAGTGAAGTTCTAAGGCCTGTGTTCCCAGGAAGTCACATGTGGGGCATGTCCAACACTAACCCTTACAAGTTAATAAGCACTTAGTCAACTGTAGGTATAAATAGTCTGGTGATGAAGACAAGACGAAGGAGGAAGGGAATCAGTTCCACATTACCAGACAGTTTTCCATAGGCCACTATCGATTCTCTGGGGGCCACAGATGGGGCTTGCTACTAGTCTAATAGGTAATTAAAATACACCACCCCAATGGTCCTACTATGGGTGGGGGGGTGGACTCGATGATCTCCTGAGGGCTCTTCCAACCCTATGATTCTAACTGCCCCATGTTCCGTGCACGTGTGTGTGTAAATATCTCAGATTCAGAGCCAGAGGGGAGTCCTGTGATTGACTTCAAAGCAGCAGGATTGGTCACTAAGGGTATGTCTACACTAGAGAAGAGCAAAGTTGCTGATGTTGATCTTCCACAGTTTGAATTAACGGGTCTAGTGAAAATTTGCTAATTCGAACTGAGCAGGATGCTCCAGTCGATGCTGGAAGTCCCGCTTCCACGAGGAATAAGGGAAGTCGAAGGGAGAGTGTTCTTCCTGCAGTGTGGACAGTGCCGAAAGTTAAGCTGCTTTGACTTCAGCTACACAGTAGTTGAAGTTGTGTATCTTAATTGTACCGTAAGAGATCCAGGCCTGGAGATCTGCTTGGAGCCCATGGAGCCACAAGCCAGTGAGAAGCCAATATGTTCCCTGGGCTAGGGAAGGAAAGACTGTAGACATGGGTGGAAAGCTCTGTGCAGGGGATTGGAGAAGAGCAAGGAGTGTGGAAATGTAAGAAATTGCTCAGTGCTTTCGGGGGAGGAAATCCAGTAGTTCTGGAGGGTCAGACAGTCATTTAGTTTAATTTGCCCCGTCGTAAATAGTTTACCCTAGACCAGTGTTTCCCAATTTTATTTGGCCATGGAACCCTTTTAAACTCGAAAGAATTTTGCAGAACCCCTAATAACAGTCTAATATATGGAGCTGAAAAAGTAGACCACAAATAAGTAAGGGTAATAATAAAGAAATGCTAAACAAGGTCATGAGATCAACATTTAGTTTAATTGCACGTTTAAAAACAAAAATCACATAATATTAATAATTATTTTTTAATCATAAAATGTTATTGTAATGGAATTTTTTCGTGGAACCCTTATTTTCACTTTGCAGAACCCTGAGGCTCTGTGGAACACCATTTGGGAAACACTGCCCTAGGCCACAGAGACAGTCAGTGTTGGAGCTGGCACTAGCATCAGGAATTGCTGACTCAGCCCTGCACTCAAACCAATAATAGACCCTACCCTTTTCTAACCTGTGCCTAGTACCTCTTTCATTCTGGTTTGGTCCTTCTGTGGTTGCCCAAGTTTGTACAGTGCCTCCAGTGTGTCATGTTGACATCATCCTTACTAATGTTCCCTGTATTTCAAGCATTATGGAGACTGAGGAAGTCTCGTCATATGCTTAGAGCACTGGTTGGGGCTCGAGATCCACAACATAAGAACGGCCAGAGAGGGTCAGACCAAAGGCTCCTCCAGCCCAGTGTCCTGTCGTCTGGCAGTGGCTAATGCCTGGAGCCACACAGGGAGTGAACAGAACAGGTGGCCATCAAGTGATCTCTCCGCTGTTGTCCAGTCCCAGCTTCTGCCAAACAGAGGCTAAGGACACTTACTATTCCTACCCATCCTGGCTCATAGCCATCCATGGACCTATCCCTCATGAATCTATCTAGTTCTTTTGGAACCCTGTTATTTCCGTGGCCTTCACAACATCCTCTGGCAAGGAGTCCCACAGGTTGACGGTGCGCTGTGTGAAGAAATACTCTCTTTTGTTTGTTTTCAACCTATTCATTTCATTTCACATCCCTAGTCCTTGTACTATGGGAACAAGGTATTAAGTGTCCTATTTACTTTTTGCCACACCCCTCAGGATTTTACAGGCCTCCATTCTATCCCCCCTTAGCAGGCCAGCTCATTTCCAAGCTGAAAAGTCCCAACACTTATTAACCTCTCCTCAGAGGGCGCCTCTTTCAAACCCCTCACCGGTTTAGTTGCCCTTTCCTGAACGTTTTTCCAGGGCCAGGAAGCAGGACCCCTGCCTGGGGAAGCCACGTCCCTTCTCTGTGGGGGGACAGCGCAGCACTTGCCGGGTCTCTCCCGCTCACAGTGACCCCTTGGGCGGGTAGGAACCGCCTCCCCCGTGTTCGGGGAGCCCACGCACCACATGGCTGCCCCCTTGCTTAGGTCACCAGGGACCGCTTTCCACGAACAGCCCCGGGGAACCGCAGCGGGCGGCTCTGGGCTGGCGG